TCCGGGTCAGGCCCCGGACAGAGGCTTCTTGTTCCGAGGCAGTGGTGCAACGGCTAGACAGGGGCAGTGCCCCCAACCACCAGCCCCCTGAGCGCTGTCAGCCAATCGCAAAGGTCACGGTTGTCCTGACTGCCCCTGGGGAACAATGCAAGGCTTTATGCGGATCAACTGCGCCCCACTGTCCTGCTGACTCAGGGCTCCCAAGAAAGGGGCTGCACTGCACGTCTGCCTTTCACCCGCAACCCCCAGCCCCGAGGATCCTCTCACTCCCTGCCCTGGATGCAAATTCCCAGCCCATGATGCTTTAGTTTTGGAGCAGAAAGAAAGAAGTAGGATCCAGCCACCCCTGGTGGACTCATCAGGTGAGCAAGGAAGCAGAGGCCACAGGAGCCTGCTCCGGAGTGCCTGGCTACAGGCGTTTCGCCTCTCACAAGTGGCCACAGCCTCAACTACACTGGCCTTCTTGGTGACGTCTCGTGCAAGCTCTAAGCATCACATCATTGTCGTCGAGCTGAAATGTATACAGGGAGCAGTACCTGTGTCCACTTTCTGTGACTTAGAAACCATTCTCCCTTGGCCATACTCTCTGTCATCCACTCTCCCCACCCCCATCTTAGCTAGGGCCAATTCTCTCTCCACTGGGAGCTGGGAGCCAGAGAAGGGCCTGTTACACTGAGGCCATGAGCCAAGGCACTCTTTTTCAGTGTCCTGCCAGGAGCCCACCCACAATGCTTCGGGGGCAGAGCAGCTGGGATTCCTGGAGTCTTATCGCGGATCACCAGCTAGCTTGGTCCTGTCAAAGTCACATGGGAACTCTGGGTCTTAGTGAGTATGACTGAAAGCAAAGCTCTGGGTTCCAGAAAGTTCTGTTCCTCTCCTGAAAGTACTCTGCTCCCCCAAGAAGACTCCTTGTCTATCACATGTCCCATGCCAAGGTGGAAGGGGTTTTACAGGGGGAGAGAGGGTGTCTAGATCCTCAAAGCTTATCTGTGTGACAGGATCGCCCCTTGGGAGGGCTCCCTGGTGTACCCCACACAGTGTCCCTGACTCCTGCACCCCCACTCTCAGGGCAGGGACTCACTCAGGCACCTTCTGGAAGCGTCTCTCCTCTGATCCCATTCACCTTCAGTCTCCAGGGCCAGGCTCTCCAAGGGATTTTGCAATGTGGCTTCCCTGACCTTCTTCCCACCAAGGCTCCAGCCCACGGGCCCTTATGACTGCCTTCTCCTGGCCTTTCCAAGTCTGTCCCCTTCCCTTCCCTCACATCCCCAGCTCTCATATAGCCACACATGACTGTCTTCACCTCTTTCACCCCACCCTCTCCATCTGGCCAGCATGAACCCAGGCTGCCTGGAACATGACTCATCCCTTCCCCAGCTTTTGGACACTCAGACAAGGGGGTGGGGGAAGACAGGACACCAGCCCAAGGAAAAGGAGAACCAAGAGGGCTGTCAGACAGACAGCCAGGTAAGAGGCTGGCGATAGGGAACAGCCTTGTGGTCACCCATGCCCAGGGATCTTGGACAAGAAGAGCTAATTTTCTTTAAGGGACTGGGCTTATAAATGAGAGCATGAACCTAATGATGGCGTGTTATGCAGACAGTGCCTGTCCTGAAGCGCAGGTGGAATCCACCCTTAAATATGTATGCTGCCTAAACCCCATTTAGGATTCCTATGGGTGGATGATAGGCTGCAAATACGTGACAAATCTGGGTCCTACCTTCTTCAACAGTCTGACCTGGGTCCTGCTCCTGGCACCCCACCGCACCCTGGAGCACCCACTGCCTGTGGTGATAACCTTTGCTGCACATTGGAATCACCTGACATTGTTTAGCAGCTCTGGTTGCTGGCTCTTGCTGTTAAACTACAAGGTAGTGGAACCAGGAATGGATATGGTCCAAAGCTCCCAGATGACTGCCATGTACAGCTGTGAGCCACCGAGCTGCTACAGGTCAGCCCAAAGGAAAACTGCCTTTGGGCAGAGCTAGTCAAGATGCGGGAGGACCTCTGGAGAGAGTTCCAGGCTTCTCCTGTGTTACCTAGGCTGCAGGCTGGGCCCCACAGCGGCTGAGGGCTGGATCTAGCATGAGACTGTGCCGGAGGTTCAGGGACAGAGGTGGAAACCTTCCTGGGCAGAGCCAACACGGCCAGTGGGAGGGGCCAGACAGAGGGAGGTAGGTTGGTGGTGGAGGTGAGGGGTGGGAATCATTGGATAGAGACTGTGCTCCTCCCAGCCTCAGGATAGACCACCAGGACATGGATGGGCCAAGAGATTCTGAGGCTTTAAGGAGAAGGGGACAAGCTTGGGAATGGCTCAACCAGCTAATCCTCCCCACTCAAGTGCCAGGATCCCACATGGGCACCTGTTCGTGTTCCGGCTGCTCCACTTCCTAGCTAGCTCCTCTGCACTCACTCGCATGGGAGACCCGGAAGAAGTTGCTGGCTCCTGGCTTTGGATCAGCTCAGTAGATGGAAGATCTTTCTTTCCTTCTTTTTGTAAATCTGATCTGCCTTTCCAACAAAAATAAATAAATCTTAAAAACAAAACAACAAAAACCCAGAAGGGGATGATGGTGGATTCCAGGCAGGAGGCTCAGCTTGTGTCCCAAGTTGAAGCTTAGCAGGGAGAATCTCACTGACATGTGACATGAGCTGCAGTGGGACGCTAATGGCTTCCAGCTCTTGAATGTTGCACACAGTAACTGGTACAGAGTAGCCGAGTCGCTACTTGAACTTCTCTAGTACTTCCAGCAACCACGGGGTAGGTATTCTCACCCCCAATTTTACAAATGAAGAAATGAAGGCTTGGGGAGACGGAAGAGCTTGCCCTGGGGTCAGCCCAGCTAATGAGGGGGTACACCAGGTTTGTCTCAGTCCAGACTCTCTCCCCAGAGGTGATCAACAACAAACCTCACTCTTCCCAAATGGAGGAGGGGCTGTTCCCAAACCACCCCCAAATGGGTTTGGTACAGAAACATAAAAACACAATGTCCAGGCTTAAAAAAAGAAAAGAAAAGAAAAGAAAAGAAAAGAAAAGAAAGGAAAAGAAAAGAAAAGAAAAGAAAAGAAAAGAAAAGAAAAGAAAAGAAAAGAAAAGAAAAGAAAAACGGGGAAAAAAATCCATACTTCTAAACAGGACTTTCTTGGAGGAACTGACTCAATACAGAAAAGCATAATGTCTTGAGAACTGAGAAATGTCCATCCCCGGGCACCTGCTTGGGCTCATGGCAGATTGGCGGGTACTGAGGGGTGGGAGGGAGGCACACTAATTGGTCCCCACCCAGGCCAACCAGCAAAGCTTGGTGTTACAGGCCCCTGTGGAGCTGGTTCCTCTCCTGTGACTTCCCCTCTCCATGCCCGTTCTCACCAATGAAACTGGAGATGCGAGGGGCGGGTGTGAAATGCCAGCCTCTGGGCCAGAGGCTAACCTGAAAAGCAGATGTGGAGATGTGGGCGGAGGGCTGGGAACCTGTAACCAGCTCTGAGGACGTTCTCTCACTAGGCAGTGGAGATCCACTACACCCTCAGCCCCTGTCCCCTACCTCCACTGCTGGCCACCACTTCATCCTAACTGTTCCAGCCACAGCCACTGTCACCTGGGCTCTCCCTCTTCCACCAGCGCAGAGCAATAAAATATAAACATGCAGCTGAAGCCCGAGGCTGTAAATACTCAGCCTTGCCCACCATGGTGGACGGCTGTAGCTGGAGCCTCCTCCTGGGTGCCTGGGGAAGACCTGGGGAGGGGACATGATGACACATAAGGCACCAGCAGTGGGCTGAAAACCAGGAGACTCCCGGCCTGGCCCGAGGCTCACTTCTCAGGACAAAGGGCTGATGAAGATCCAGCCACACTCCCTTGGATTTTCCAGGAATGGAACAGCACAGGCAAAATTCCTCCTCCCTGAAACTCAGGCCAGGGGTACTGCTGTCCCATCAACTTCCCTCTCTCCACCCACACACTGCTTAGGCCTCTGTCCGCATCTTACAGACCTAGTGGGGGCCTCGTGAATAAGAACGAGCATAAAGTCTTCCATCTGTGACTGCTGCCCAGCTCCCCTGTGTCCTCATGCATCTGCCAGCCACAGCTCAAGCTCCCCCAACCCCCGGCCCCAGCCCAGTGGTCCCTGCTGTCAGCAGCAATTTGTCTGGGTCCAGACTTATCCAGTTCTGACCCATCTTCTCTCCAGTTCCCAGTCTCTGCAAGGGTCCCTGACTTGCCCGGGCTGCCCCACCTCTGCAAGCCCTCCTCCCCTGGCCTGGGAGGGCAGAAGAATCCCTTCGGGTACCTACAACTCAGTCTTTCCCAGCAGCAGTCTAGGTCACTCCCAGACATTTCACAGACCGCCCCCCCCAGGTCCTCTTACCTGCTTGGGGGGGGGGGGGTCATGGCGGACCTTCTGGTCCCCTACACACACACACACATACACACACACACACACACACACACACAGAGGCAGCTCCTCTCCCCAAAGACCTCGCCCCCTTCTGGTGTGCTTAACCTCACTGGAATCCCCCCAGGAGCTCCCGGCTACAAGACTGCCCGCCTCCCAGGCCAAACCAGGGCAGCCAACTCTGCCCTGGGGAAAGTGCAACAGTTAGAGGTAGTTCAGGGACAACTCCCCTCATCCCCCCAAAAAAAGTGTCAGCGCTGAGCTGGGAGGCATCCAGGCATGTCACTGCTCTGCACACAGGTGACAAATGAGGCCCTGGGGGCGCTGAGCACAAAAACCACTAGCAGTCGGTCAGGCGGTGGTCTGTCTTGGTTGGGTCGGTTAAGGACCGGTAGGTAGCCTCTGGAAAGCTCTGGGAGCGCTGGGGAACAAGTGAGAAAGAGTGTGGGTGCCCAGGGGATGGACGCCTGGACGGAGGGGTGAAAGGTGAAAGAGTTGACTGAGAAGGAAGGAAGGTGGGCACAGCAAGGGTTTACTGTGGCCTCCCGTGCCTCTGTTGGTCGGAGTCTACCCTGTCTGCGGGCTCCAAGGTGCCATCCTGTGCCTCACCTTCTTGAAGTCGGCAGTGAAGGAGACCAGGGTGCCGTCCGGCTGGTGCAGCTCGAGGCTGATGCTGTCGGCGTCGCTGTCCGCTTGCAGGCTCTCCTCGGTTACCTGGCCGTCGGGCAGCCGCACGCGGACCCGCAGCTCGGCCAACGCGCCCGCCTCTGCGCCTCGGGGTGCTCCCAACAGCGGTACGAGCAGCAGCGGCAGCAGCAACTGGAGCAGCTGCGCAGGGCGCACGTTGGGGACCCCGCGATAGCCGGGGGCGCGCATCCCCGGGGGCCGCCGTGGGCCTCCGCGGCCCCGGCGCGCCGCGTGGGGGCGGGGAGAGACGCTGGCAAACTTCGCCCGAAGTTGGGGGCTAGTTCGGGGCGCCCGGCCGCTGATCCCCGCGACGTGGCGCGGACGCACGTGGACTGCGCTGCACCGCGCAGCGCGCCCCCAGCGGAGACGGCGCTCCCCGACGAACCCACCGGCTCTCCCGCTCCGCGCCGAGGTCCGGCGCCCCCGGCTTCGGCGCTCACGGACTCTGTTTTGCACTTTTCATTCAATCCCACCCCCCGTCACTTCCTTCAGAAAACAGAAACCACCAGGACCTGCCTTAAAGAGACCGCGCACCTCTCGGCCTTAAAGGGCCCGCAGCGGCTCCGAGCGCTACGGCGGCGTGGCACGGCCCGGGAGAAAGCTTGAGAGGGGGCCGCGGGCGGCCGGGTGGAAAAGGCTTTTTCTGGTCCGCCCCCGCCCAGCCTACCCCTTCCTTCGGCCGGGGCGGGACGACTGACTAGTCCTGCCCCGTCTTTCTTATTTGGCCGATTCTTGTGCCACGCGGATGAAATAATCGGGCTAGGGTTTTTAGGGATTTTGCTTGGTCTATGAGTTTTTCTGACACAGCAGATTTCCAGAAACTATCTGCAAAATCCGACCTCACCTCACTCTTTGCTTCTTGGTGCTGGACCTTGGCAGAGCGGAACCTGGGTTGTGGCCCACCGTTGGCAGGCGTCAGCCCGCTAACTTGGACAGGGTCCATTAACTTCCCACCAGGCATCCTCACTCCAGTTCTTCCCCCACCTCTCTCGTGGAAGTCTTTCCCCAGAGTCTCTCCAGGTAAAAGAGGAGCAAATCGAGGGAAATGTTCAATTCCAGGCCCCTGGTGGGCATTGAGGATGCTGGCCTTCCATCATCGCTCCCCCTCCCCCCCCCATGACAAGGAGTTGGGTATGGCCTGCCAATCACCTGGCGCTCCAACCCGAGTAAGAACACCGGGCCATCAACATTTGTGCCTCCTTATTCTCTGGACCTCTTGGGCATACATACAGAGTTTTGTGGGCTCAGGAGCCCACTCAAGGGTAGTTGGGGGAGGGGGCTATTGCCAGTCCCAGGCCAGAGAAAGCCCTGGGGCAGACTCAGGACTTGTTGTTCCTTGCTGTCCATCTTTGCTTCCATTTGTTCTAGATGCCCACTGTGGGGTGATAGCTCCCCTTTGCCCTGCCACCTCTTTCTCTTCCAAGGTCGCTCCAAGCAGGAGCTTGGGAAGGGCAAAGTCAATAGAATCTGCCTCTCACCACCAACCCAGGGCCTTACTTGTTGCAAATTCTGCCCCAAGGCGAGACTGAAGGTAAGAGATGCGACTTAGCTCAGGGTATTGTAAGATTGGACTTTAGGGGGAAAAAAAATCAGCCAGTTACTTACAAACACAGAACCCTGGTGGGAGATCCCTAAGCTGTGGGGTGAGGCTCCCCAGGGAGAGGGGACAAAGGACTGATGGTTGCTGCTGGACAGGGTGCTAAGTATAAAGGATCTGATCCCAGTAGCTCTGAGTTGGGGAGCCACCTGTCCCTGAGGGCTTTTATGGTCACATTAGGGAGACCAGGCAGGCTGTGTGCTGGTTGGATACACGCTAGGCTTGCACCCCTTAGCTGGCGGGACTGAAGATGAAAGATAGGCAGTCTCAGAGCTGGCTTCCTCCTGGACAGGGCACTGGCTCCCTGCAGCCCTCCAGCAAGGTCTTCCCTCTGAGTCAGCCCACAGAGCTATTTAAAAGGGCCTCGCCCACACTTCCTAACTTCTTGCTTTAGGTTCTGTCCCATCCATCATTGGCACTGTCCCGCCCCCACTTTGCAAGAACCCAGAAGTAGCAAAAGCAGCCCCCAAGGCCTGATTTTTTTTGCTTCAGGTCTCAGAGGCTGCCTTTGTCTCTATGCCAGGGTCTGGGTATGGAAACAAGGATGCAAGATGGCATCTCTTTCCTGTTCCCATCCCTGCCACACCACTTCCCCATCATCAACTTTCATCTCGACTTTGCATTTTGAGTCAGATTTTCCTTTTTAAAACAATGGACAGTTTGGACCACCGATTAAGCCACAGCCTGAAGTGCCAGCATCCCATAGGGATGCTGGTTCAAGTCCCAACTGCTCCCTTCTGATTTAGCTCCCTGCTAACGTGCCTGAGAAAGTACTGGAAGATGGAGCAAGTCCTTGGACCCTGCATCCACATGGGAGACATTGAAAGAAGCTCCTGGCTTCAGTCTGACCCAGCTCTAGCCATTGAGGTCAACTGGGAATGAACCAGGAGATGGAAGACCTCTGTCTCTGTCTCTTCTTCACCCCCCATAACTCTGCCTTTCAAATAAATAAAAATAAATCTTCAAAAATGAAAGCAATGGACAATTTGCTATCTCCTGCCACTCCAGAGGCCCACCTGCCTCTGTCCCTCTTTCTCTCTTTGGATTTCAGCGGGCCAAACTCTCCCAGATCTGGATAAAACTCCCACTCCCCAGGAAGACATTCTCAGCCGTCTGTTGACCTGCAGCTCCAGTCTGGACGTAGCTCTCTCCTGCCCCCTGGATCACCACAATAACAATCATTATTGTGGCTGCCCCCATGCATTATGTTCTTAGCATGCCCGAGTTCTGTGCCAGGCACTTTACGTGGCTCATCTTAGGTTAATTCTTATGGCAGCCCTGCCCAGGAGGTCCTATTCTTAGCCTCTTCTTTTACTGCATGGGGGGAACTAGAGCTTGCAGAGGTGAAGTAACGTATGCAAGGTCATGTGGGCAGCAGAGCCAGCAGGAAACTCACCCAGGAGTTCGCCTGACCGCAAGGCCCCTGCTTTTAACCACAGTTAACATCTGCCTGTCTGTCTCCTTCGCTTTCTCCCAGCGCCTTGCGGGCACACACAGCCGTGCTATCTCTTCCTCTTATCTAACGGTTTCTTGTGTGGTGATCTGGTATCCCCAGTGACGCTGTCAGTTAGTTCAAACAGGCCAGACCCGTGCTGGGAGCAGAGAGAGAGCTCCCTTCATCCACCCAGCATAGAAGCACTCATTCATCTTCCCTGTAAAGGCTGTCCAGAAAAGAGCTCTAACAAGCCTAATTACCCTGACTACAACCAAACAGCCCTCATTGTCAGAGAGCCCTTTATGTTGACTTGCAAGCCCTGTGCCACACCATAGACCAATTTCCCTTCCTTTCTTGTCTCCAGTCCTGGGAGAGCAGTTGACAGTGGTGGTTCAGAGCAAGGGTAGCAGGATTGCAGTCCTAGACACTACCTGCTCTTGGGCTGTGTAACTCGGTGAACCCATTTCTTCACCTGTAAAGTGGGCACATCACTGCTTCCCTCACTAGGTTACTTTAAAAAGGAACTATTGTGTCTTAAGCACTTTGTTGCATGCTTGGCATGTAGTAAGGCTCAGTAAATGATAATTATTATGTAATGCTGTCGATTCTTTCCCATTATACTATATCCGTGTCTGATTGATTATATTCCAGAACACATATGTGTGTTCGTGCTTGTTATTTTTTTTTTCTCTCAATCCTCTTTAGGTCTTTTGAGGACCCCTGAAACTGGGAAGTGAGTAGCAAGAGCTTTGAGAGGGGACCTCCCCTTTGTTTTTTGAGCTGAATGCCTGATTGGGCAGGAAGAGAAATGGCTGTGTTATTTTCCAGTCTGTGACCAAGAGCAGAGGTGCTGCCCAGACCACCGTGGAAGGTGAGAAAGGGAACTGGAACCAAAGTCCTCCATGGGTTCCTGGGTTGAGGAGGGGACAGCAGTGAACTTGCCTTTTTTTTGGCCTTCCTTTCTGGACCCTTGCAGGTAGGGCTGGTGAGTTGGACTTTTAGTCTGAGGGGGGAACCGTGGGCGGTGGGTGGGGGCAGGATGGGAGGGGGCACTCCCAAGGCCAGCTGCAAAGCTCCAGACCCTTCATTACCAGAGTAGAAGCACAGGTCAGGTTTACGGCATCACATGATTGTGCAGTTACATCCACTGAGGGTGCAGTGGAAAAGTGAAGTAGAGAGACAAGCAGGCCAGGACAGAGGGGAGAAGGAAAAAGAAAGCTGGACGGCCGGGGGATGGAGAGGGAACAGCTTTTCTTCCCAGGCATGGGAGACATTTTGATCAAGTTGGACTGAATCAACTGCAAGGGAAGGCCACTCTCAAGTCACTGATTCCAAGCCCATGACTCTTTAAGATCCTGAATGCAAACATCTTCTGCACCCATGATGATTCCTCCATGAGGCTTTTCCTGTCCCTTGCCTGGACATTTATTTGTTTGGTCATCTTGTGTACACACACACACACACACTGCTGCAATTGGGACCACAGAAAATTCCAGGAGACTCCAGCTTAGAACAGGAATTCTTACCAGGAGGCTTTCCTGGGTCCAGCCTGCACTTGAAAGATGACTCCAGGTTGATGCACAAAGAGGATGCACCAGGACGTGAGCCTGGTGGGCTTTCCAGAAGTGTTAGTAGATAGCGAAAGCATGACAAGGGAGGAGTTACTCCACACCATGTGGTAGAGTAACAACGGCAGGGCCTTGCGGGCAACGTTAGCATTTCGGCTTGGCTCTGTTTTCTGGCTCTGTTTTTGCAGGAGCAATGGCAATCATTGGAAAGTGTTATGTAAAGGGGTGACATGATGGAACTTGTGCATTACAAAGATCAATTTGGCAGTAGATTAGAGTCATCTAGATGAGAAGCAGTGGTGGTGGCCCTGACCCTGGTGGTGGCAGTGGGGGAGGTGGGGTAGAGAGGTGCTGGACTTCCACTGCATTTTGCAAGTAGAATTCAATGTTTCTGAGAACTGAGGGCAATTGTGTTGGGGTCAAGGACAGCTCCCAGTTCTGGCTTGGGCCAATGGGTGTCATCATAAATAGAGACTGGGAAACCTGGTAGAAAGATGACTGTTTTGGTAACTCTTCGGGTACTTCTATTGTCATGATTGCACAGCATTTATGTCTGAAATCAGAGGGCACAAAAGTGCCGAGGCCAGCT